TGTCCAGTTTCTCTGGCCTGGCTGTGGTCAGTGAGCCTGTGTCCAGTTCCTCTGGCCTGGCTGTGGTCACTGCCTTGTGTCTTTGACAGCAGACAGGAATCACCGCTGTCCTTCACTCAGTGGGTCTCAGTGACAGTCAAGGCCCCCTCCCTCTCTCGAGTTAGGGAATTAATTGGTTTATTGTTTAATTGATGATCCCTCACACTAGCAGAGGCTTAACAAGAACAGAGCCAAACTTGACACCGGTAATCCCGGTGATCCTAGGATCACCAGCACGCTGACCTCGTGGCACAGCATGCCTTGACACGCCACCACATACCAGCGCACGCCACCACATACCAGCGCACGCCAGCACATACCAGAACACGCCACCACATACCAGCACATGCCAGTGCACGCCAACACATGCTAGCGCATGCCGGCACACGCCAGCACATGCCAGCACATGCCAGCACATGCCAGTACATGCCATCACATGCCAGGTCACGCCAGTACATACCAGCACACGCCAGCACATGCCAGCACACGCCAGAACATGCCACCCTCCCAGCAGCATGCGGACATCCTGGAGAAATAACATTCCTCAGGATGGCCGGTGCTCTGCCCCCAGGTAGTTTTTGATTCCCCACTGGTACTGTTTGTCAGGCAGTGTGATTCTCAGAAAATTTGCATGTTCAGGGATCTATTTAAAATAACTACAGTTACAGGCAGAAGACTTGGCTCAACACACTGGCATCAAGGTGAGAGCAGGCAGACACACAGGTGGACACAGACAGGTGGGTTTTGCACAAGGGGGCAATGGATAGAGGAGAGGGGGAGTCTAGCAGCTGCACATCAAAATAATTGCTCTGACACGGGCTAAGGTTCCTGCAGGCATCTCTTTCTCTGGGCTCCACTGCTCCTGCCTGCGTGTGTGTGGCAGAGAGAGATTCTGCTTCAGTGATGTGATTTTGGCTTGAAGGTGAGTTTGAGTCTGATGTCTGTTTCTCTGTTCTCCTGGTCTCTGCCCCCCCCTCCACACTCTGATCTCTCTCACTCCCCCCACTCCCATTGCCCTGCTGTCATGCACAAGATTCTCGAAGGGCATTATTAACATGATCAAGATAATTATTTTGCCAAACCCCCCGAACGGCAGACACCGTCAGCAGATGAGGAGGCTGCTCTGCTCTTCTCCCTGAGGTTTCCAGTAGCTAATCAATCCCAGAATCTCATCCTTATCAGCATCAAGACCTCAGTACACACAGACAAGCTGCAGCGCCCTGTCTCCTTCACTCTGCCTCTCCTGCGCTCAGATGAACACAGCTCCAGTGGCTCATGTAGTGCCTAAAGGCTCTGGCTCTGTGCCTCGATTCTCTCTTTACGTCGGGTGAGGGCACGGACATGCAGGCTGACTCAGTGGTTTATGTATTCTGGAGACCAGAGGAGGTTTAAAGACACTGCCTCTCAGACTGGAGTCTGTTCTGGGAGGCGGGGAGAGTCAGTTCAATTCAAGGGGCTTTATTAGCATGACCGATAGGTACAATCAGTGTTGCCAAAGCAAATAAAAATAATCACTCTCTGTCCTGGGAGGCA